TCAGTAGACAAAAATTCGGGCTTAAACAAAAAAAAAATGTTTAATTTAAAATAATCTATAATTTTAAAACAATTTCTCAAGGCTATAACTAACTCAAAAAAGTAAAAATTGTCCAAAATGTAATTTATTGAAAATATTAATATAAATATTTGGTGAAAACTTCAATGGTCTACGGTTATTAGTTTTCGAGTTACACCAAAAAATAAAATTTTTAGTTTTAGGTAAAAATGACAATTTTTTTTTTTTTTATTGACACTTTTTAATATCTAAAACTAAAAATTTCGGTTTCGATATCCAAAAAGTACCAACTAGATTCACTTTTCTAACAGAAAAAATGCTGATCTCGAAATTCGGAATATTTTTACTACCCATTGTTGATGACCGACAGAAATGAAAAAAATTATACACATCTTGTAAAATCAATACATTTGTTCGTTCCTCTCAATTGGTTTGAAACATTGGTTTCGTTTCCAAATCAATAATAAATAATTTATATATTTTAATAATTTTATATTAGTTTAATATTAGTATTTGGATCTTTTGAGGCCCTTCGATATATTATGAGGCCCGAGGCCTGTGTGCGGTGCACACTTTGCACACCCGGTTTTTACGGCACTGTAAGAAAGTAACATATAAGGACTATGGTTATTATACTGTTATCATTTATCAATTAGTGATAAAAATTACTGGTTTGAATCACGATTAAAGATAGTATTTTAATTTTCTACTCAAGTTGAATGACTGACTAGTGACTACAAATATATTTCATACTTAATGCAATATAATTTTATATTAACCTATTACTGCTGTTGTCTTTAGGAAGTATTGTGGTACATTTTGGATGCCACAACATACCACATTTTTCAACTGGACTTATGGATAATTTTACGTATCCTTATTCATTTGATGGTACTGCACCCTTATACAACCTAATATTGTCAAATATTTTAATTATCTTCTCTACTTCAGTGTGATTGTCTATATTAATATTTGAATTAACCCCAATATCTGATAATTCTATTTTTTTGTCAAAAGCATATAGAAATAACTCGGACTCTGTAAATAGAAAATAATATAGATTTTGATTTCTATAGGTTTATAATATTAATAATTTATATTTTATTTTGTATAAAATTTACCTTCATTTAAAACTAGTTGTTTTTCAATGCATCGCATTCACATAACATTTTTTGTATAAGATCCCAACTTATGAAATGAAATTATAGTCTGCTTATAATTGTTTTTTAGTAGAGTATCATCGATATCACAAAACCATTTTGTTAGTATATTTAATTTTAATATATTTATATCATTTAAAACTGATTTAAATATTGTCATTTTTTGTTCTACCTTTTAATCAGAAATAAAAACACAATAAATATGATATTAATAATACAAATTAAAACATTATTTAATTTTATAATAGGTACAGTACCTTTAAATTTTAATCTTTTAGGTATTGGGGACGTTAATTCTGTATTAAATAAAGGTGCATCTCTTTTTAGGTAGTTTGTTGTACCAGTATCATGAACTATTTTATTTTTCTATGGTTTTATTGCTGTATAACAGTGATCATTGTTTATCGAAGATAGTAAATCATTATGTACATTTCCACAGCTAGTAGGTACCACAATCGTTATTAGTCTTGTCATTCTTAAAAAAATATATAAATATTAAGTCAATGACTAACAGGTATTATTTAAATTACAGTGTATTCATATGATATTGGCTATATTTACTACACTTATTGATCCATTTTTAACTGGTATAGGAATGGCAACATTACGCAGCTTAGCTCTTTTTAAACATACCTAGACATATACAGGTAGGTACTTTTTTGACTATAACTACAATAATGATTTTAAAATAAATAATTAAATACATACAGTATATTTGTTATTCCCATTTCCAGTAACCCATGAATCATTTATATCACTGTCTCTAAAGTGTTGGCGACCGATGATTTGACTTCGATTTTGTTACACGGCTTTGATAGGGAACGCCACCTCTATCTTACTCTATGGTTTGAATTAAAAATTCAAAAATTAATTTGTGTTCTAACTTCAGTTTGAACATGATACTAGGCACAAGGCACAACTAAGGGGTCAAACAAACATAATATTAATGTTTTAATGTGGGTAATATTTATAAAGTTGAGAACACTGAATAATACGCATTTGTCAACATGTATACCCACCGGTGTCCGGTTGTTGCTTGTTCGATCACTATTTATTTATTTGACATATTATTGGGGGTTTATTTTTGGTATCGTGGAAGACTTGAAGACTACGCATGAATTAGTGAACTAATACAATACATGTATTGACGTATTGTTTATAACCTATGTATAATATTATGTGTTGTCACTTTTCAAATATTAATGGGATTGTCAAATGTGACGCTACTTCATTTTTTACCTGGGGGCTGGGGCACTTTATTCTTATATACGCCACTGAATATTCAAGCAGAATTAAGTATGTAGCTTAAAGTTCTACTAGATCATAGTAAGCCTAAGTCTATTATATATGTATAAATTATGTAACAGCAACACTAACGCCTAACGGGTATAGACAGACTTGAGTCTATTCGGGCTCCAGTTTAAATTGCTGTTTACTTAATATACAGGCAACAGTAAAAACTATGAAATAGTATTCATATTTCCTGTTCAGTTATAAAATATATACAAATTACATTTGATGTATACATTGTCCCTATTTATGAAAAATAAAATGTTTTATTTTGGATATTATAGTAAAATGGCTTAGAAGTAGATACCTATTAGGTATATGTTTATTTTTCGTCATCACTGATATCAAACCTATAATATATTATATACAATATACTATACAGTCAAACTTGGTTGACTAGAAATCGTTGATACCTCAAACTTTTTCCAAATCCCTAGAATTTCCTATTGTAAATGTAGTGATCCCTCACTAACGCTTATATTTATCCAAGAATAACTCGAACTTTTTGGCTGGTCCCTACTCACTTTACCTTCCAGTTAATCAAGTCCGGCTGTATTGGTAAAATATTAAGATTTATATGTTGTTTTGTGAGTGTAAAATAATTATTATATATGAAGTCATAATTTTAGATTTTTACATAATATCTTAATAAAAAGTTTATAATTAACTGGTTATATTTTTATAGGTGCCTTGAACTTCGAAGTAACCGACTGAATATTGAACTACACAGAACTACAAACCGCAAATCGAAAAGATTAAATTTCAATTTTATTATTAGGAACAGAAACACGAAATGTCAATGCTGCTTATAAATTATGATTGTATTTTGCCAGTTATTATTACTTTGCTTTACTATACAATTTAATATAAATACGAGAATATAATATTTAGTAACTATAGTACCTCCTAATGATAACAATTTTTAAATTTATATACAAAATTTTAAATATTTTATCACTAAACTATGTCTTGCCATCTTGAAGCAGTTAAAACAATTAATATGTCAACTCATTCGTAAGTTACTTTAAATAGATTAATAAATAATTGTATTGTAATAAATTGTTAAATTGTTAAATTTTGTATTGATATTACCTATACCAAATCCCTTAAAACATATACGTTTTAAGGGGATAAGTATAGGCAATTTAGCGACTAATTTTTTTAGTAAGTTTGAAATTCAATCAACAACAAGGTACCACAACCACACTACCACTGTACCAGTACTTTTTCGTTATTGTGATTACGTACCTACTATAATATTATAGCAATGCATATTATTATTGCAATAAGAAATAACTAATAAATAATTTAAAAATAATTATCAGTATAGGTACCTAAGTAAGGTTATATAAACTTATTCAATGTAATAAATTATAAATTGTTGCTTAATATACGATACCTATTATATGGACCGAATTAATTAATACCCGAATATATTAATAAGACGAAAATTATAAAATGTGTGTAAATATTTTTAATTGATGAAAAGTATAAAAAATTTCTAAAAAATATTATATTGTCTTACATGTTGTTGTCATTATTAATAACCCCCTTGTATTATGTAGGAGGTGCAAAGATGTTATTTTGCACCCGCAGAAGCTGAACTTTATACCTATTAAATTACAATAGGTACTATTTCATAATATGAAATACATCATACATATTATATTATATACTTATTGATTTTTCGAATTTTCGAATTTTCTTATAAAAGCTATAACATATTTACATATAGGTAACTTGTACAAATAATAAAATACTTAATGTTATAACTTGTATAATAATTTTGTGATCTCTAATTCATTATATAGGTAGCTGAAAGGTGGTGTGTCACTGTATCATAATATATCATAATATTATAAAGACTAAATTTAGATTTTGGTTTTGGACATCGGTACCTATTTTTTTTTTCCGATTTCCTAACTGGTATTTTTGATTTCGTTTTCAGTTTTGATATCGATTTCGGGTTTTCACGGTTTCAAATATTATTCAAAATCAGTATCCAATATCGGTTTCAAGCCCAGGTTTAAAATATACCTACAGATTTTGATATTTTAATTTAATATTATATGTTATATTATTATCAAATATAAAAAGATACCTAGTCCATATTATAGTATTGTATATTTGTATGCAAGTATGCAACTATGCAAGCAAAACAGTTTTAAATATGAGCATTTTAATTTGTCTTTATGAATATTGGACCAATAAAAGTTGTGCACCTGCTGAAATTTAATGGAATTACGCTAATGGTCATTAAGAAAGAAACATTTTATTGAAAGCCTGGTTTCCCAAAACATACAAAACACAAAGAGCACTTTATAAGTTTCTGGAATTTGTTAATCTTCAAACCCACATAAAGTCACTCATCTGACTATCTGAGCACCAATGAACTACTCAATAAAGGATATTATTCAGTCCTATTATATCTGAATAAGTAGTTATTAGTTGCTGTAACTGTTTTAATTAGTTTATATTTTATTCAGTTTGTTAACTTTTATATCTATATATTGTGTTTTAAATTAATTAAATATGGATCACAAAGGTTTTGTATATAAAAATAATGGAGGCATCCATAAAAATAAGAGTGTTTGGTAAGTTTAAATAAAATAAAAACAAAATCATCATAATATTGTATTCAATTGTTATGATTTTATATTTTAATATTAAACAGATATTTGATCTGCAAAACCAAATATTGCAAAGGCTCTGATAAAATGTTTGTGAATGGGACAATTGTTTGACAATTGAAATGACAATCACATTAAAAAAAAAGCATTTAGGCAAATACTGAAAGACCGTTCTAAAAACAAGACAACAAGACTCCGGACAATATATGATGAAGAAATGATTAGGTAAACATGAAACTAAATATTACTTATAAGTTATAATTTATATAATTTATATCATCCCAAAGATTATTTGAGCAAAGAAGATTGTTCTTTTTTATCTGGAAAAGTTGTAATTTGATATAATAATTATTTGCCATACATAAGTCGGTGGTGGTAAATCTTTAGTTAGCAGTATTAGACAAAAACTAGTTAACAATATATACCTACAGTCAGTGGTGTATATACAAATTATTTTCACTATGGGCAAATTTTGTCAATTTATTCAAGCCAGCAAGACTAACATAGCCATAATACTATAAATATATTTTAGGGAGCTGGGTGGTTATAATTATGACATAAAATACAAATAAAAATTGTGCATTTAATTTTATAATCATGTAAAATTAATTTTTTAATTCTTTCTAAAAAAATATTGACAATTTCATGACAAGTACATGAATTACCTTAATCGAACCTGTAATTTCATTATGGGCTCTGGCCTGTAATTATATTTTATTATGTACATAATAGGTATTGATATAATTTCTTGTTAAACATATTTAATGTTTTATGCTTTATTTATTTGTTTTGGACATACTAATAAAAAATATTACAATAATAAAATGATGCCTAGGTACCTATTTATAATATTAGGACAAATGTGTTGTATTTATTTGCACCCCTCATATAAAGAAAATACATCAAATAAACAAATTAAAATATTGATCTAAAAGTGTAAAATGAAATTAATTAAGATTAAACTTTTCAAATGATATTACATATTTAAAATATATTTTATTAGAAATTCAGCTGCTGCAACCATATACTCATGGCCAGTGGCTGAAATCTCGATGAGAAAAGCTAGGAGAACAACTATGCCAGTTTTACCATCATCATTGAGCGAATTGGCAAACTTCCTAGATTTCAATGTGCAACGTTATACATGTTGTCAACAGCCCTTCTTCCAAGATAAGGTTACAGATACACACGGGAAATGTTCAATAATTTTTGCATGCAGTGAACTTATTAGGAAAATTGTTATGCTTGGGAGTGATGAGTTGCATGCTGACGCAACTTTTAAAGTTGTGCCTTCAACTCCACCAAGCCGTCAACTTTTTATCATGCATTTGATATACCAAAACCACGTGAGTTTTGTTAATTAAAACTAACCATTTTTAAGTAGGTATGCATTAATCATTTCTAATATTTTATTAGTCCATAGTCCATACCGATTGTTTATGCATTGATGGAATCGAAGACTGAAGAGGCATATACTCTATTATTAAGCAAGTGCAAAGAATTATTTCCATTTATAATTCCAGCGAATATAATGACTGATTTTGAATCTGGGTTGCTGAATGCTTTTAAATCTGTTTATCCAAATGCAGATCAGCGTTCTTGTTTTTTCCATTATATACAGGTATTTTAATGATAATTTAAACATGTATCCATTATTTATTTATTTATTTATTTATTAATAACCGGCAGTGCCCTTTGAATACAATTAGGTAATACACTTTAGATTTAAGAGGACGCTACACCCTCATGCGGTGTCTTCGTCTTACAAACGCAAAACATGGCAAATTGTACGTTTTGAATAATGCATTTAACTCAGTATGATTAACATTGGAATGAATTAAACTATTATCAAATTAAGAAATATTATCTACTGAACCTTATAGAGATGTTTTATATTTTAATTTTAAAGCAAGTTATGAGTGTTATAAAATGCACAAACAATTTACAATTTTAAAATGTTCATAACTTGCTTTAAAATTTCAACAAAAACGTATGAGGTTCACTAGATAATTTTCTTACTTCTAAATTTGATAATAGGTCAATTCACTCTTATATTAATCTTATATTAACTGAGTTAAATAGATTATTCAGAATGTACAACTTGGTATGTTCTGCATTTGTAAAACAGAGACAACGTTACTGGATGTAGCATCTTTTTAAGTAAAGAATAGTAAAATGTACATTGTAATACAAATAATAATAATGCTAAAAAGAAGATACATAATTTACAAAGTAGTTAAACACTAAACACTAAGGGTAATTAGATTAAAAAGGAGGGATCATCATTGGTGATAGATATTCATACAAGTCTTAACGGTTCATTTTTCATATAATTGCATATACCTATATAATTATATATTGCTCGTGTTATAATTATTATTTGAATTAAGTTACAAAGTTACAATAAAACATCATCCATTTGTGACATGCAATATTTTTACAATACAATTTAAATAAAAATTGTTTTAATACATATTAATAGTTACAATTTTTTTTCTATATTTACTACTGGCATTTAATGGATTAATGGGAAAACAAATTGAATAATTAATTAATAAATAATACATCGCCAAAGTTTAAACTACTTAACTAGATTATTTTTATTTGTTTGTATGGTAAATCTTAAACAGTATTGTTTATTCTCACTTTTTATTTCAGGCACTAGTAAAAAATATCAGAACAAGAGGATTAACGCGGTTTGTTAAATCCAATTTAAATGCGCAACTTTGTGTGCAGATGTTTTGTGCATTGGCATTATTACCTAAAAATAAAATTGATGAAGGGTATACAGTAATTCGCCAGTATGCCAGGGATAAGAACATATTCATGGATATGGCACCATTTTTTAGTTATTTTTCAAGGTGCGCCACTTATGTGTATAACAGTATGAATTAATATATGTAAATAAATTAAATTGATGTTGTCATATTTCAGGTATTGGTTAAATAATCAAAATGGAGGTGATTATTTGTTTTCAGTACATGGAATAGCAAGGCGTACCAATAATAATATTGAATCGTTTCATGGACGACTAAAAGAAAAATTTCAACCAAAATTTCTAACCACTTTTTTTTTATAAATTTGTAGGTAAAAATTTAACTTCCCCTGAACTGGGTCTATGGAGTATGGCCTCCGGCGGGAGAATGCATTAGATATTAGAATGTCTATCACAGATATAAACTACTGTAAATTATAATTTATATTATATATTTGTGATGTCTATAAATGTGCGGACTAATTTGTTTGGTTAAATTTAGTAGGTATGCGATAAATAACTGAAATAGAAAACAAGAATACATTGCAGACCAGTGACCACAATCATTTCTGTAAAATAACACACGATTTATCAATAGACCGTTTATGTGCTGAGTGTAGAAGTTCTATGGATTTATCATATTAAAAAATATATTTTATATCATCTATGGCAATCACCAATTGTCGACATTCGTCAGCGACGATCACAGATATATATAATAACTAGATACCCGACTTCTTCTTATCAATGACGCTGGCAGCCATTTACAACTATGGCAATGTTTACAATGATAACAATAGTTCATATCAAACAAGTCTGTTGCCCAACTTACTGACTACTGTGGTACTGACCCTTTTTCGACGATTATTATAGGTATTTGACTCATTACATTTAATACACCTATATTTACCTGTGTTTAATTATGTAAATTTTTCACTGTCATTACATTTAATTTAGACTATGCTTCTTCTCCCTCGCCTCTATTCAGTACTTCTTTTTCGATCTTCCTAGCTGTTCAAAATAAACTACGATTGATGACATATCTCTATGATCATAAAGAGCGAAGTCGCTGGTCAAAATCAGTTGAACCACATTTTGAAATAGGCAGCTTACAGTCAAGTCCATTAATTCATATTCACTTCACTGATTCTTTGATTTAAACTTATATTTTTAGGCTTACAGTAAATCGTACAATGTAAAATGAGTTGAACTTAACTGGTTCATCCATCAATTATGGTATAATTATGTATAACTGTATAAGAATACTTGTAATAATATTAAGTTTATGAAAAAATAACTATATTATGAGTATATTCAATATTGTTATGAAATATTTGTATCACAATGTATGATATCAAAACGATTAAAAAATGATAAGAATTTGTAAACATTGCCATAGTCACAAATGGCGTCGGGCATCATCATTTAATAACGTTGTGGTATATGGAGTCGGGTATCTAGTTATTATATATATCTGTGGCGACGATTAACAATTCTAATAATTTTAGTGGAAAAAAAAAATAATAAGCCAATTAAGCCATCAATATGGACAGATAGTTCGTTAAACCGTATATATTATTATGTAAGTTTTAACACGAATTCCCACAATTCGTTATGTTCAGGTTATTTTCATTAAATATTTCGATAATTTCAAGTTACAGTTCGGAACGAGATGAAGATAGCTGTTTCTTCGGTGGCGTTACGTACTGGACGTTTGCATTGTTGATGATGCACTCTAGCTAGGTTTCACCGGGAAAGTCGATGTTTCAGCGTAAGTTTGTTTTCATATTATTTTGGGATTTACATAATATAACGTAATGTTGTAGTAGAAGCTGGAAACTGTAGTACCTATATTCTAATTTATAATCCAATTAATGTAATTCTTTGAATTTTTTTAATTTTAATGTAACATTTATTATGCCTACACAAAAGTACAAAACACTTACCTACCAAAATTGAATTTTTCACAAAATTTGTTGTTTTAACGATAAATGACAATTTTAGTTCCCTATATTATGGTGAAAGTATTTATTACAAACAAAAAATTAATGTTCGAAAATAAAATGTCCTATATTATTATTTACTAAATACAAAGAGACTTAAAAATAAAAATATGATCATTAATTACATACAGAGTACCTATAAATTATATTATGCATGGAACACGAAGGTTTATTTTGACTACCTACCTACTTATCGTGTACGCATCAAACACAAAAAAGAAATAATAACAAAAAAATTTAAAAATTAAATACACATCATAGTGAAATCAAGTTCAATCTAGTTGGTATCATGGTAGGTATTGTAAATTTAATGTACTTAGGTACTGTATATCTTTATGTTAACTCTAAAATCCAGGAATCACATTTTCATTTAATGATTTTTAAGATACAATATTATGCTTTTATAAAAATATGGTTGTACTTCTGATATATATTCACCATATTAATAAATAATTAAATTAAGAAACGAAAATCATAATTGAAATTCAAAATTATAAACTATTTTGATTTTTGTCATACCTAATATAAAATTTCAACGAACAAATATTGTTCCTTAGCACGGAACTCTTTGACATAAAAAGTTGCGTTACCTATATGATATCCGTGGATTCATCTTATTCACGTACCTAGTATAATATCTATCCTAGTATAATATCTATCATTTATATTCCATGGCAAATCTCAAATCCATTTCAGAGGACACAGTCGTCATTAAAAATTCCAAAATTTCAATAAGCAAAGCCGATATGAGCAAAAAACTTACTGCGTTCCGTATAATTTTATTTTTCATCAATCACAATATTTTAAGTTCTGTATATTATGGAGATTTTCCTCGTCAGCCTCGCAGTGAACACACGTAACGGATTCAGCCGAAAGAATCGATGTTTAAAGTAAATTTGTTTTCATATTCTTTTGGGGCTTAAATTTACTTTTAAAAATTAAGATAAATATTTAATGTCACGAAAAATGTGTTATTGTATACGCATATTTTATAAATTGTTTTTCCAGTCCCCATTTCCAGTTAGAATAATTGTAATTAATAGGTGAATATGAAAATTGTTTACTTGAAAAAGACATGTTTTGGTTTAATTTAAAGAAATATATGTTTTAACTGATAATAGTCATAAAATACAATTTTAATTTATAACTGGTCATTTTTTTTCAAATCCAACGTTATAAGTTATGGGTAACTATTAACTTAGTGTAACATAGGTACTCAACTTCTATTGCTCTCCTAATATCTATATCATAGGACTCGTAGATTGTGATAAATTTTGTAGAAATTTGAACTTTAAATGCCCATAAAACAAAACGTGCTTATGTATTTCTAATATTTTTTAACTTCTATTATATCAACTTACGAGGAACTTTGTACCTACCTATTATTTTTAAGCTTTTTGCCCGACGAATAAAATTTTAATGACATTTATAGAATACAGAACTAAAAACATTTCGTAACTCAATAATGTCTTTAATAAATCACTGAAAACGAGTCAGTTTTGAACATTTTATAATGTATAGAAAATGATAGTTTAAACATTGGATGGACATTTTAAATATCGACGGTTAATAGTTGTTGAATAACAACAAAATAAGAAAATGGTTTTACGAGAATCATATACACATTATTGTAAAATCAAAACATTCATTGCTCCAGTAGTCCGCTCTAAAAAACAAACTAACACATAATAGTTAAGTAGGTATAATACAGATTAAACATTATACATATAAAATATAATATCTGTAACGCTTAGGTCATAAGAATATTGTTGAACATTTTACTGCAGGCTGCGTGTTTTTTCAGAAATGGTATTTAATTCGTCAGTGAAGATTTGTCAACTGGGAATAATATATCATACGCAGACTGAAATGTGTGAACGTTGTAGTATTTCGAAGACTAAGTTTTATAGCAGATTTTGATTCGGACACGGGGTATGTATTTTCTTCTTTTTCAGTAGCTTTCTTTTTATTATAGTTAATCGATCAGGGTTGTATTGCCCGAAACTTTTCAATTATTTGTATTGTTACCTACTATACTGGTATAACACTATTCTGGCTATCAATAAAGTCGTGATAAAAATTAGGAAATTGGTCAGGTATGATCTTTTTTGGTATTTAAGTACTAATTCTTTTGAGTAGATAATTCGTTCAATTATTTAAATATTTTCACCGATAATCAAGTACGTTGACTTGTAGGTAACTAGAGACTGAGTGAATAGGAATTAGGAAGTGTATGATGTGGTGAAGATAAGGAAAGAGGTCATTAGGATTTCAGAATGTTTGGCGTATGAAAGGGAAATGCGAAAAAGAAATGTTAGGTTAGGGTAGGTAAGTGGAGTGAGAGTAGCAGATAATATGAGAATGTCAAGTTGAGTGTGAAAGGGACAAAAGAGGATAGAATAATATAATAATTAAATTTAGTGTAGGAGTGACATATATATTTAAGTGAAAACAAGAGAGACTAGGTTGAGGTGGTTCGGTCATTGTATGATAAGAGGTAGTGAGAGAAGCTAACGGAAGTAGGTAAATGTAGGGGGAAATTGAGAGGTGAGAAGACTGAAGAAGTGATGGGTAGATAGAATACCGATGATAGTATGGAGGTGCTGGAAAAGTGGGTGGCTGAACGTGTATAGTTGGGTGAGAAGGGGGAAGAAAAAGTGTGAAGGTAGAATAGTTAGGTTGACAATACCGAATACGTAGGAAAGGATCTCGAATTGCAAAGGCCACTCGACTCTTTGGCTGAAACTACCGGCGGTAGGTTTACAACCTAGACTTATAGGGATAGAATAAAAAGATCTGTTGGTTGCCGGTTGGGATGTCAGTGCACTATTTGTTTCCATCTTTGACCCACGCGAGGTAACATCATAGGCGCTATTGGGGGATGGGGGGGTCTAGGGGGCGGGCTTATAGCCTAATAAAAAAATTATGCGGATCTGTATTGATTTCATGAAGTAGCCAACGCGTACTATGTAGCGAAGTACGTTGGCTACTTTATGACATTTTAATTATTGTATAAGTTATGACTTATTAGCGTGTAAATAACTAAAATTTAAAATGCTTATAAATAATTAAACTAATTCAAAGACACACAAAAAAAATAATATTTAATGTCTACTGAAAAAATTACAATATATATATATCTTAATAATTAATAAACAGTTGGGCAACTATTGCTTAAATGGAGGCTGTAGTCATCACCAGCTGTTATTAAACGAAAAGTAAGGCGTGAGGGCGTTACCCCCACACCACTGTAAAAATATTAATTTGAAAATATAAAAACTATAAAAAAGAAGAAATTTCTTATTTTCAAGTTTAATTCTT